ACAGGGTAATAATGAAGGAAAGCAACGTCTACGTCAACACTCGATCAGCACCAAAACATACAAGCCCCCTTATTTTGCGAGTCTCAAAATTAATGTGCAAAAGCTGGACCACCCTGTATAACATATGGAAATCATTGTCATGGCCTCCTCTCAAAAAATAATATCAAACTCTGATGTTAGTTTTTAATGCCCATATTTTGTGAAAGTCAAATATAATGAGTGATGGGTGGGGTATGTTTGGAAAGCATTTCGAAAGACCTTTTCAATGATGTGGAATCACATGGGGTGTTCTATTGGAAATTCATATACACATTTTGCTACTTCCTGTATATTTTCTCTGGCAGTGAATATGTATCTGTTGAATCGAGAAGGTAAAATAGTTCCTTGTGAGGGTGTTCTCTATATTTTTCCACTGTCTAAAATAAAAGAGTTATATGGGAAAGGGGTATATGTATATGCCACCTTTATGTATCATCCCTATACAAGAAATTTAAATCCACGAGGTGTATCTTCACCTATACATTTCGTAGGAAATTATAGAAATGTGAATTGATTTCGCGAGAACCAACCATCAGGATTGCCCTATTCCTGTATTGCAGCAATATTTTTTGTTTACTAGAAACTATTTCGGACTTGCTCAACCAATTATTCTTCAGTGATAGTTTTTCAGCGATAGTTTTTCGACATTTGAAACATCAATCTCTGTCTCATCATTTATTGTCATATCCAAACATGAGATCCTCATCAGAAAACTACTCGTGATACTATTTTTCCTTCATGACATTGTTTCAAAACAATTTAGTTTTGATTGAGATGTTTATAATTCCTCTGGTGTGCCCACTCTTCAATTGTTTCATCAGACTAGCTCTCGATATAGACAATTGAATGCGAGTTCGGAACTTCGGAATTTCTTGAAAAATTTCAAAATGCGTTTCTAATCTTGTTATGAAGTTGAACCACGTTGAACTGAACTTGGGATGTGTTTTCCTTTTTTCGGAACCTGAAGAGTCCCGTTGATGATGGACGGATTCAATAATAGCTGATAAGAAGGATGTAGAAATGAGAATATTATGAATTGAGAGCGTTAGTAGTTTATTGAGCAGGTATTGATATTATATCATCAGTTGAGTGAGTGTATTGTGCTTTCATCAGCATTCGTTTCATTTTATGTACCAAAAAAACCAAATAAACTAATGTCACAGGATTTCGTTGAGTTAGGACTTCGTGTCGTTTATGAATTCACCATTGAAAGTCGAAAATATAACGCACCATTTCCGTTTAAATACAAAATTGTGAAAATGTGAATGTGAACTCAAATGAATGTGTCATGATGCCTGTAAATTTGGTTTGAAACTTCGGAAATTTAGCAAGATTCTTCCACGCTTCGCTATTTTTACAAAGTATATAGGCGATATCGAGAGATTTCGAAACTCCTTTCAATAGGAAGTAAGAACACCATTTGACTTTCTATATGTATCTATGTTTTGATAAACGATGCTATTAGCGAAATTAGGCAACAAGCTGGCCAAATATTTCCGGTAAAATAGCGTCTATCTATCTCTTGTATTTCAATGTCACAATGAAAAATAGGTAGTTATTGAAATTGTCAGAGTTGTTAGTACTAAGTATAGATATAGTACTTATACGAAATCACGAGTACAGGTAAGTATACGACATATAAGTACACATTAAAACTGATCCAATAAGTAGATGAAGTATTATAGAAATCGAAGGCCAAACCAGAGTTGATATCACAAAGTCGATAGTTATTAGTAATATGTATATTCATCACTCAAATATTTCAAAAAATTGTTGAATATTTTGTTAAAATCTCAGGTAGTTCGATGATGAGATCATTTCAATTTCACATAAGAATTCAAGATGAAATCATTATAGGTATACCTGAAATTTTGAAAATGCCAGGGTTGTAGAGGCAAAAGCCATGGATAGATTCAGATCAGGAAAATACAAAAAAATATCACACAAAAGGTTTTTTTCGGAATGAAAGGTGTTTTAAAGTGTATAACAGAATAGTTAGACTTTTGCTAATATAATTTTTGATCGGATGAATTGAATCTAAATAACACACCCTGTTCATTGTATATAGTAAATTGTGCTGCCATCTTCATTTTTTTATTCAATTTCCCAAAGTTCTTGCATATAATGACACCTAAATGCTGAAAGAGTTTGAATTTGGCATGAACATTCAAAATTTTGCTACTTCAGAACTGGGATATCAGAATTCAGCCGAGATTGATACTGCCCTCTAGCGTCGATACACCGAAACTTGACCGAAACAAAACAAGAACGCAGCTGTCTACAGATTTCTCTTTTAATGAAATAGCCATTCTCTTCGAATGAAGGAGCTACGAATCGATAGGTGGCGCTACAAGATTTTTGCAGAAGCGTTGATTGACCTGCGAATTCTGCGATGCTCATAAAATAATAATCATTATTATTACTGTGGCACAGATAATCCAACTACCAGATGCGAAAGCTCTGGTTGGATGGTTCAAAATGTTAAATCTGTGGTTAAACCTTGAAGCACATCGCACGAATCCGTTTTGCCCAAACATATGCATAGGCAATTCCTATAGACCAATCAGAACAATCCAAAAGAAGGGCCTGCGTGTTGGCAAACGTCTAAAGACACGGTGCAACAAATAAATACTCCAATTACTCCATGTGCGGGCGAGCAACTGGCAAATGCTTGTGTTGACTAAATTCTTTCTTGAAAAGGAATATTCTCAGAATCGTGTTCTTTCTTCATTCTATAATTGCTTAGTATTTCCGTGAATCAGTTATTGTTGTTTGTTCGGATTCCACGCCGCCGATCCGAGTTCACAATTCCTTTGACGGTCGCCTTTTTTTAATTCTGATTGATGAAGTGCTTTTCCCAAAAATACACTTTTCAGAAAGAATGTTCATTTAGGATTAGTAAGGTTAGAATGTTTAAGAAAAGCAATAATGAACTCAATATGTAAACATCACCCTTATCCTTATTTCTTATGCAGAAGGGATATTTTCCTTCCTCCCTGGAGAAAGTACTACTGTTGAGGCCGATAGTGATCCGCTATTTTAATGATGTTTGTTTTCAGGATAGTGACACAAAATACCCAACAGTTCGTTATTCGAATTTACCGTCAATAACAGTGATTTGAATTTACCGCCATGGCCAAAATCGCTTTCATTGGTCTCCTTTATCACCCTATACATATCTCTGGGCAAAACGGATTTGTGTAATAACATACCCATATACACGGAGAAAAATGTATTGTTGATCGATTTCACACATCGGTCTTTGACCTACACTGAAAAAACATGCTTGCACTTTTCGCAGAAATAGTACTAATGGTGGAAGTATTTCTGTGGCATATTCGTGATGAAAAAACTCATGTATTGACCAATTTGGCTACAAATCTAATCTAATCAAATTAATTTCAATAAAACTTGAAATTAATAACATCAGGCAGTTGATGGGTGATCTGTGAATGTACCAAGTCAATCGAGAAATTTAGCTAGCCTTGAGAAAAAAAATGTCTTTCCCTTCTGTCCTTGTATTCAGAGTTTAATTATGAACTGACCTGAATTAATGAAGATTTCATTTTGGTGGCAATGAGAATGAGGAGGAATGGAGAAGAATATATTAATTTTCATATTGAGGTTAGCGTGATTTACTCACTCCTCCACTCCTCTTCTTATTTTTTCTGCCACCAACTTGACATTTTCATAATCTTACGTTGTAACCCAAGAAGACGAGAACAGAAGGCTGAACTTCTCTCGTTCTTTAATAGTTCATTCAAAATACCACAATGGCGATGCGCCGAAATCTCTGAATGCTGAAAACACTTCGTCTTGCAAAAAATTATTTGTGTTCGAAACAATACAATGAGCAATACAATATGAATCGTGGATTGTCGAAGAAAGATGCCATTGACTGATCATACAGAGGAGTGCAAAAAAAACGGACAGTGCTATAACTTCTGAATCATTCGCGATCGTGTTTCGTCATTCCCGGTTCAACCTCAATTTTTGATATCTAAATAGGACACCCTGTATATTTTCCCATATTCGGATTCAAAGGATCGTTCTGTACACACCAGAAACTATCTTTTATCGAAACGTCGAGATATAAGGACATTAAAACCTGTTAAAACTTAAAAGTTAGGATTGCTTCTGGTTGAACAGGAAGTAATATAATTAACACGTTCTGTTAATAAAAAGCAATTTTACCTACTTGGTACTTCCCAAATTTCAAGATACGAACTCGTATTTTGATTCATGAGTTACAGCATTGGCATTTTCTGTGTACAAAAATGTTAAAATTCCTAGTATTTCCGGAGATATACGAAAATAATTTTGGTTAATCCTCAGACGAATCCAATTATCAATTATTTTCTGTCGTTGTTTGTTGGACAATATCAAAATTGAGATCACATTCACATCGCCACTTTTTTCCTGCTATCTGATGACATTTTCAGATTTACCATATAATTACTAATGAAATTTCAATATGGCGCGCATATTAAGAAAATAAAGTTGATATGATGGTGGCGTAAAGACAAAATCTCTGATCGTGAATTTGGATATGTCATCGGATAGCATGGAGAAAGTGGCATTGTAAATTGTAAATGTGCAAAATTTCTTTTTTTTCGTATATCTCTGGAAATATTCGGAATTGAAGAAATTCCCGACGGCATATTTTTAGTCACATAAATGTACAACTTTGCCCTAATTTAACCATCTTTGTATCTCAAAGAAAGGAAGGAATGCTCGAAGTCTTTGTATCTCCTATAGTTTCCGAGATCCAAATGTTGGCAAACCCCTAGTTGCAAGTTTTGAGTGATTGATGATTGATCAATCAACAGTCAAACAACTGGCCATTCTGTCCATATCGATAATACAGAATACTGCAAAAATAGGCGTTTTGACATCTGAGCTCGTTAACAAGTGACATGCTGACATCTATAAGGTAGCGCCATCTTGCCATTCACAGTTCAATGTCGTTCATTCCACGTCGATCTGATGACGTACTCGGACCCAAAACAAAACACCGTCTCGCCCTCTCAACCCATCCTCTTCCTGATGACGAATCAGGTGACGTTTATCTCTTCGTCGCTGTCGTTCGAGCTGTCGTCGTACATCTGGTAGGCCATGGGAGCGCAGGAACCTGCGTTACCGACCCGCACCGCAGCGTCCCTCTGGCGGTCGCCAGGCGAACCTGTAATGAACGCAGGGATTCAACCAAATTTATTATTACGAGCAGAGATTTGAGAACGAATGCATTTATGAAGTGGAAGGTCGTTTCGAATTAGGAGAGGGAACATCTCGGTATATGAACAAGTGTTTACGAGGTACATAGATCATTTTATACCGAGCTATAGTACCTCCTTCCTTAAATAATCACGAACCCAAAGTTGGTCCTAGAGTATCCTATAAACCTTTGTTCAAGAATCAAAATAACATACACTTCCTTCTTTATTCATCCTCGAAACTGTGTGTCTAGTATATGTGTAAGAAAAAACCATCTTACAATGTTGTAGTTGATTCCACTCGCCAAAATGACAAGCTGAGACTACCCATTCCAACATCAAATTTGATAAAAAAATGCAGCTAAAATATATAACAATCTTTCGACAAGTCTAAAAAATATCCAATCATATGATCAGTTTAGGTAGTCTGTAAAGCAAGATCTCATTGAACAGGTATTTTATAGTGTTCAAAAGTATTTTGGAAAAAATTTGGATGGCATGGCATATAGTATGAAAGTGGGTATTTGTTGCTCAAACCATTATTTACCTATATTCATTGTAAATAGTCTCTGTGATTATGAACAAAAGGAATACGATTATGACTATGAATGGTTTCCATTCCTTTTTTTCATTTATTTATTTATATGTTTATTTACTTATTATTTTTTATGTTGTACTGTGTGTATTCGTTCATCTACACTGTATATTATATATAACAAGGGGAAGCTTTCGTGACTGTTCTATAATAATATTCTTGGAAATATTAGTGGGATGCAGTCTGGACCAATGAATTAATTAGATTTCTTCGTTATTTGTCGAGCTTTCGAAAATTTTTATTTTCTTTATCAAGACTAACTGAAAACATCGAATGGAACAATAATATTAGAATATAAATGTACATCAAATGAAATGTCATAGATGATGGTTGACTCATTTGAAGATGTTGAATACAGAGTGAGATGAATACTGATATATATAAAAATACTGATATATAAAAAATGTTTGTAGATTATATATAAAACATGAATCATTCAAGGAGGACGAGTTGATTTATTATCTTTTTGTTTCTTTAGAAGGAATGTATAAATGGTACTAAGATCGTTGATGTCTGTTCTTTTGTTCATCGTTTTATCATTTTCATTAATATGTACCATTTCAAGAAAGAGGCGTTTGTGATAATGCCAAAATTCTGGATTATGAAAAACATCTCAACAAACGCCTCTTTCTTGAAATGGTACATATTAATGAAAATGATAAAACGATGAACAAAAGAACAGACATCAACGATCTTAGTACCATTTATACATTATTCCTTCTAAAGAAACAAAAAGATAATAAATCAACTCGTCCTCCTTGAATGATTCATGTTTTATATATAATCTACAAACATATATTTATTCACGACTAATATATTATACTTGTGGTTTTTGAAGTATAATGCCATATATTAATCCCGCAGGGAATAAAGACTATTAATCCCTCGCCATTATTCCCTGCGGGATTAATATATGGCATTATACTTCAAAAACCACAAGTATATATATTAGTCGCAAATAAAGTAGAGTATACTACTCGCAATAATGGCTATTATTCTCTCGGAATGTTACTCCCTCGCCGCTAACGCGGCTCGGTTCGTAAAAAATCCTCGAGAATAATAGCTATCATTATTGACTCGTGGTATAATCTACTATTATATTCCTGTTGTGTTCCTTAATAAATGTTTTCTTTCATATTCCTGAATGTATAAGAGAGCAACAGGACAAATGTTTTCCATCTATGTCTTCAACATATTATTCTTACTTTTACTTTCACTTAATTATTTAATATGACTTTGTCTACGAGATTTTCATCTTTCGACTATAAAGTATATTTTGATTTGATTTGACCCCTGTAAGTAGTAGGCCAGCAAAGAGAATGTGCGCTTTACAAGCAAGAATTGGTTTGAAATCCACTATGAGCTGTAGGTCCTGTCTCTGACTAATGCCGCACAAGTTTCGACTTCTGGGGAGTTGATTTCCAACTTCGAATTAGTGATATACAAATGTAAAAATTACAAAAAATATTCAAAAATATTACAAAAAAATTACAAAAAAAAATACTAACCGGCGGGTGAGAGGTCTTGCACGTCGTTGAGATCGAGCTTCGGCTTATCGCCGTCGGCATCGCTGAGGTCGGGGTGGGGGTTGTTCTTGTTGGGGAGGGTTTGTTCGCGCGATCCACCGGCCGCGAGCAGTTCGCGCTCTTTCGAGTTGCGCCATTTCATGCGTCGGTTTTGGAACCAGATTTTCACCTGAAAACAAAAAGTATACACTGAAAAAAAATTGAGTGAAATTTCACTCAAGGTCCACGCAATAATGAGTCAATTTCAGTCCACGCCCGATTGAGTTGAAATTGCACCATACTCGACTGTGTAAAATGGTAATTCATGAACCGATCCAATCAAATTTTTTATAAACATTCTCATTGATATGAGAACTTGATGAAATATCTAGTTTGAGTTGAGAATTCACTCAAAAATGTCAATCAGTAAATTCACTCACAACCACATATGCATTCACTCAGAGGAATTTTCTACAGTGTATATACAGGGTGTGCGATTTCGACTTGCAGAAACCTCCGAATTCTGAACCCGTTAACACAAGGCCTACTATTGTTGAATGGGTCAAAAAGCCTTGATATTTCATTTCCCATTCATATAATCTCTAATCCCTCAACATTAAACGATCTATACGTCCAATCAACATTTTACCAGCACTAAGGTAGGCGCGGGTAATAAGGCCTGTCGGCTAATAAGGCCTAAATGATGAAAATGCAATTTAAAATAGTCGGTGTCGGTCAAGGTCACACTAACAGGTCGCTAACTATCATAGATGGCGCCTGAAATCTGCCGCGATGTGTTTGGTCGCTAAGGGCGACTAGTGCGGTGTCATTCGTTAAGAGTAGTAATCGTGTGGCTCGAATAATAAGAATTCGTCAAAATTAATTATACGTATTTTTTGAAATATTACACTTATTGATATAGTTCTGCGTTATAGTTTTCTATTATGTCATGGTTCTGCGATCTTTGATGTTTGAATAATATATCAAGGTCCGAATAATGTTCTTTTCAGATTTCCTTTACACACGTTGTTGGAGGTTATTAAGGCCTACCAATAGAATAATTAAAAAGATCTCAACCCCCAAAAGTAGAAGTGGTACTGAACAGAACCAGGCGAGTTGGTACTGTCATGTTTGTGAGGAGAAATGGCTGCGATGAGACAATGTTTTAAATGCATCAAGTGGTATCACGAGGAGTGCGTCGGTTTGTCAGCGGATGATACAGATAATTTTGAGTGTCCTGAGGCTTGTTAAACAAATAAATTTGTTGTTATTTTCAAGACCTCAGCATGATCAATGCATGATTATCAATTATCGATCTCAATTACCAAATGTTAGGAGTCTGTTTTTATTTCTCATGAATATAACAGTCATAGGCCTTATTATCCCACTATAGTATAATAAGGCCTACTGACAAGGTTTTTAAAAATGTTCAATCATGTTTTTATTTATGACACACGTTGCCATGTTCTGTTTATTTTTGACAGGACCTGATCTTAAGGTTCAATTAACATTAAAATTCGTTGATTTTGTTGAATAGTTTTCATTTTATTTCAAATCCCCCTTAGCTAGGCCTTATTACCCGCACCTACCTTATATCAAAAGTATTTCGAATTGACTCGGCCGTTACTTGATGGAAACCCATGGCAAATGAAAACACTTCACAAACGATAAGATTTCCACAAAATTCTCAAACACACAACATGTTTCGCTAACACAGTTTACTTCCAGTTAGCTGCTTAGGAGCTATAAGGCAGTACTGGAATACTGTTCCCATATTTGGAGTGCAGCACCCAAACATACCCTGAGACTGTTGGATTCTGTCCAAAAAAGGGCAATTCGATCGTGGGTGATGCCTCGCTCACAAACTCACTCACTTCTCTGGAACACCGTTGAAAAGTTGGCGATCTGGCTCTATTTTATAGATATTTTCTTGGACGATGCTCTTCTGAAATATCAACAATTGTTCCTTCCTTGGAAGTCCCCGCGAGATTAACCCGTCGAGTTGAGGCTTCGCACCCCTTCGTGGTCACTTTGGAGATCTGCAGAACATCTCTTTCCAAAGACTCGTTCATCCAACGAACAGCGAGGCTCTGGAACACATTGCCAAGGAACACATTGCCAAGGAAGGTGTTCCCCGAGGCATATAACCTCCAGAAATTCAAGAAGAACACTACACTGAGAAAAAAAGATGGTAGTTATTACCAAACGTTTAGTAAAATAGGCGCCAGTCACAACTTTCATCAAATGATACCACTACACCATTATATAATACTACTGGTAATAACTACCATCTTTTTTTTTTTCAGTGTAATTCCTACCTTATTTCTTTTGGTTCTCACGATGTTCTCTAAACATTACAGGATATCCCTTTTCGTGGGAACCAGAACATAAAAAAAGCTTCATCAGATGATATACTGGTACAATGCGCATTCAGCAATCAGCGCAATGAACATAAGATGAATTTTTTGAAAAAGATAACAAATTCAACATACGCCAACCATATATTAGAAGAAAACCATAGTTTTGATGATAATTTCGGAATTCTACATGTAGAAAATAAATGAATAAAAGTCAATCATTTTGAATCATTAGAAATCTGACATTTCACTTAACGATCAACTAGACCTCAATATAGTTCACCACTGCTGAATTTGTTTCCTTACTTAATATGTATTTGCTATCAACCCTTTCAAGTTTATCCGGTACACCATATTTCAAGGTAGGTACATGTGCTTATTTTCCAGAAATGAAAGTTTATCGAACATGTTCACAGGAAACTGAGCTTTCAGGTTGGGAAAGTAGGATAATATATAAAAGTTAGGCAAGCCAATGTTAGTTTAGTTCATTGTACCACTATATCACCTGATGAAGCTATAATGTGTTACCAAACATGTCGTGTGTTTGAGAATTTTGTGGAAATCTTATCGTTTGTGAAGTTTTTACATCTATTCGCGGGAATCAATGTCACCAGGTGGCGCTTGATGGTTTTCATCGTTCCATGTCAAAGCCACGTCAAAACTGGGAACTGGGGGAAAACAAACTCAATCCTCACTCAATCCCATTAGTGCTATTAGCTTGTGTACTGTGTACTGATAAGAGTGATAACACTTTATGTCATTGACAAGTTTGACAACAACAGCTACAGCAAGATGTATGCAATCAAGGTCTATTAACTTCTATAAGGTTACCTCATAGAATGATGGAAATAAGATATGGTGTGCGCATTCGGCCATTATTACATATTGAAAATTTCAGAAAAATCACTCGACCGGCCTACTATGATTTCTCTACGTCACAAAGAGCGAGACGTTGATTCTACATTTTCCCGCTAGATGGTGATGCTGCTATTGCTGCTGTGACGAGTGGAAATAAAATGGCAAATGCCATTTTAGGTACGCGGAACATATGTAACAGTGGGATTAAACAACTCTGGATTCGAAAAATCTGCGACAATTTCAAAACTGACAGAAGTCATAATTATTGTGCAATGTTCATTGCAGCTCTCGAGAGCAAGGCTATTTAACTCTATTCGGGGGAATCAATGCTACCAGGTGGCGCTCGGTTTTCATCGTTCCATGTCAAAGCAACGTCAAAACTGGGGGAAAACAAACTGAATCGTCACTCAATCCCATTAGTGCCATGTGTGTACTGTGTACTGATGAGAGTTATAACACTTTATGTCATTGACAAGTTTGACAATTACAGCTACAGCAAGATGTATGCAATGTAGTCTATGCACTTCATCCATAGACAACAGTTTGTTTTCCTCCAGTTTGAATTTCGTATTATGTAACCTAGATGTCGCCCACTTCGTGAATCTCGCGAATATCAAGAGTATAGTTGAAAAAGCGGGCCATGAACAGATATATGTAAAAGTTGATGAAAATAATACCAGTTCACCAGTCAGGTTTCAGATCTGATCATAGTACCACTACTGCCCTACTCAAGGTTACAGATGACATTTTTAATGCGTATGATAAAAATGAAGTTACCGTTTTTCTTTCGTTTGAAAATAGTGAAGCTTCTGATACCATGAATCATCGCCTTTCAAAATACAAGCTGCACCATTATAGGTTTTCAGGTGAAAAATAGTTTGTCACGTAACGTAAACGTATCATATGGTGCCCCGCAAGGTTCTGTGTTATCTCCACAACTTTTCATTTTGTATACTGCTGATTTTTATCTAGTCTTGAACTATTTTCAAATACATACATAATTATGCTGATGATACAAACCTCTACTACTCGGCCAGAACTGAGGATGTTCTAAGACATGAAAATTTGCTTGATGAAGACATAAAACAGTTGGTATCAATGTAAAAAAAATACTGTCTCCATGTTGACCCCACGAAATCTTCCCTAATCGTATTTGCTAGTGAAAGAAATAGACAATCGGTTATAGATACACAGTGAAAAAATAACCAGTTCACACCAGCTAACACCCTTGGGTGTCCCCTGAGGTCCTGCTCATTTTAGTGAGAATTAACACTGATATTTTCAACACCATCATAGGGTGTTATTCGTTCTTACATACAGTCAAGAACTACACTAGACTACCTATAGTGCTGATTAGATCGGTTCGTGTTATTCAACACCAAAGTGGTGTACAATAATTTGGTAAATATTATGACACTGTATCTGTTGCGGTTTTGCTCTTACTGATGATAATATTATGATATACGAATATTTTTCGGATATTTTTCTGGTGTGAAAACACACCTATTTAGTCTTATCACGCTGAGGAGAAGTGTTTTCTTGTCTGCATCTGCATGAGTGTTTAATAACACGACTCTGAATTCAGTGTTGCCGTTTCAGAATTTCAATTTTTACTAGAAGTCTTTCCGATATTGTACTAAAATCTATTATTTTATACTAAATTGAGAAAATAACACTTCAAAATTAACGATTCACACATTTGATGAAAAACTTCATGTTCATGTATAAAAATTCAAAATAATAGGTATACAGCACATTAAAACACCTCTGCAAAACGTATCTCATGAAACAATTATAACTAATAAAAGCCGAAAATAAGAGAGGAAAAGGAACAAATGAGATTGCAGATTGAGATTAAATATACTATCATACGATCAATAAGAAAAAAATAGATGACTCAAACTTCAAAGTCAAATCAATTCATCAATAACAGAGCTTATTGTTTCTACGTTGAATTGGAAATTGTGGACTTTTT